GAGAGAGAGAGAGAGAGAGAGAGAGAGAGAGAGAGGGGAGGGGAAGGAGCAGAGAAAAAAAGCTAAATGCAGTAAATGTTGAACTATTAGAAGAAAAATAGTAAGAAAAATAAATACGGTGTAAAAAAATGTTCTAAAGGCATAGGTATCAAAGAGTGATCTGTCGACATCTAGCGTTTCAGGCTTCAATTACTAGGTAGATTGCGAGGCAGGCGGCGCTATAGAGAGATTATGTTAAGCACGTGCGAACACAAAGAGCGAGCTGTCTGTATAGAGAGAGTGGTAAGAGAACACAGAGAGAGAATTGCGAGAGAGAGAAATAGAAAGAAGGTGCGTAAAGCCCATTCTACAATTGCGTAAGCGTAGTCGTGAACGTAAGAGTCAACCAATCCGAATGTTTTATTCACTGATTGCTTTAAGCGTCTTCTACAATGGCAGTAGGAGTAGTAGTAAGAAATAAGCAGTAAGCAAATTGACCAATTCCATTCTCATGTTTCAAAAATAATCGATTGTGATTAGTCTATTTACTTACTGCTTATTTCTTACTACTACTCCTACTGCCATTGTAGAAGACGCTTTACTCTAATAAGTTAATCTGTCGTAATCACTTACAACCACTTACAACCACGTTCACGCAATTGTAGAATGGGCTTAAGGATACGAGTAGAGAAACTCGATTTGACGAGGTGGTACGAGGTCTCGAAAGCGGGTGTGAAGAGCCGCGGGATTATTAGACTTCTGTATCATAGACGTAATAGAGCATCAGATTGTTGTGTGAGTCGGAATCCTCTCTTGTAAAAGCGTGCGCGTGTATACGAATTGTATCGAATAGATCGAAAGTGATCTTCAAGGTTTCCTGATAGAAAAGAAACGCGAGCGTACAAGACTGACTGTATAGTAAAGTTCAAATAAATTGTTGTTATTGTGTGTTTGCATTTAACTACGAAGTTTTATCTCTTACAACAGTGAGAATAAAAAAGAAAAAAGATATATATTACGATTACCAATTTACCGACTTAATATATATATAATTTATTAAATTAAATAGGCTGTATAGACGTCGAAATATAAATAACAAAATAATTAATAAATAATAAAAAATAAATAAAATATAGTAAAATTAAATTTGATAATGTAAATAAAATAATAAGAAATAAATAATGAGAGAGAGAGAGAGACAGACATTTTTTTATAAAAATAAATTATTCTGAAATAAAATTTAAAGAATCTGCTTTTTATGTATACCTAAATATTTACAATGTCCAAGTTCAATGTATAAAGTTATTAATAAAAAAACTCATTTTCAATAATTAATATTATTTTGTAAAAAAAAATGATATAAAAAGAAAATTAAAAAAAAATTAAAAAAAGAAGCCAAGTGCATGCACCTTAGTATTATTTGTCTTTACAAAAAATCATAAATAAATTATAACAAAAGCTCAGTTAAAAGATATTTAGAAAAATATTAAAACAACCTTATTCAGATCAATTATACTCCCGCGAATACTCTATAGAAAAATACAAGACAATTTTATACTCTCTATAAAAGTAATGATATCAAGAGGTTTGCGCCAAGTGCGAATAATTAATAATCTCAGTTTTTACTTTTATATATTTTTATAAACATGTGGTTTTGGCTATATAATATATTTATAAATTAAATATATTATTAATA